GGCCTGTGAGGCCTTGGGCAGAGGACCTGCTAAGCCTTGGCCAGACAGCTGACAGGTGGCACGTGGGAGATAACACATGCTGTGGCTTTCAGCTGCTGCACACACACACACACACACACACACACACACACACACACACTCACAGAGAACCCCACACGGGCCCCGGGCGGAGTCAGCTGAGGGGTACACACAAGGGGCTCACACAGTTTTCAAAATTTTGCAACGACTGTAAGTTCACGAGGCAACCAGAGGAAAGGAAACGCCCAGGGCTTGCTTTCAAGTTCCTTCTCCTCTCACGCCCCCAGGATGCTTCCAACACACACAGGCTCCCACCCTCTCCTCCTGACGCCCACTCCCTGCGTCCTCCGTGAAGGGTGTGAGATTTACCTTCCAGCTGCTTTCCTTTCCCGGAAAAACTCAAAGCGACTTGATTTCAGCCCCGAGGGACTCCTGAACCCCACCCTCCGGGCAGCCGCCCTGGCCCAATGGCCCCCACATCTTCCTACACATCTGGGGCGCGAGGCGGCCGTCATGTTCCCAGTCCTCCCACCACCAGCGCAGGGTGAGTCACAGCCCAACAGGCCCAGGGAGGCGGGGGTGTGCGCGCACGGGGATCCGCCCACGGTGGGACTGGCTCCCAGGAAGTCAATGTCCTCTCCATCTTTCCTCCCCCCCCCCGCCCGCCTCCCTCCTGCCCGCCTCCCTCCTGCCCGCCTCCCCCCCCGCCCGCCTCCCTCCCTCCCTTCTTCCTCCCATCGCTTTCCCCATGGTGGTCAGCATCTTATAGTTCATGAAGCTGTTCACACCCCATTATTTCAGTGGTTTCTTATAAGATCTCGTCCTAGTTCCATTTTGCAGGTTAAAACACTGAGGCATAGGAAAGGAAAACGCAGCTCAGGACCTGGGCCAAAAACAACCCCCACAAAACCCTGAGGCTCCCTGCTGATTCCGTGTTACATCATTCTCCTCTCTATCTGCCTCCCCTCTTTCACCCACACCCCTCCCGGCCCGGGGCCCCTGCACTTGACTGCCAGGTGCTCAGACGGGAGCGGGGGCTGTCTCCGGGGCAAGCGGCTCTCCAGGGCCCAGGGGCCGCTCCCTGCCTGCGAGGCGCTCGGCAGAATGAAATGTACCTGTTCGTGGGAGCAGAGCGAAAGGTATTATTAAGCCCGGCAACACACGAAGGAAATGTAACCGAACAGAACTGATTATTCCATCATAAAAAAGAGGAATGGCTTAGAGCTCACAGCATCCGTCTAGACACATCACTTAGACACCCATGTACTGTTTTAATTAGCGCCATCAAAATTAAGCCTTCTGTAGCCCAAAATGTTATTGTTCCACAAAACAAAAAAGGACATATTCCATAAAGAACAGCACAGCTCCAGCCGCCGCTCCCAGGATGCCGGCATTGGCTGCGCTTCCCCTTCCGGTGGAGATGAGTAGCCCGCACGCGTCCCAATGGCTGCTGCTTCCTGCGTCTCACAGAGGCTCTGCGTCCCCTCCGCCCCGGGATGCCACGAAAGGCACAATCCCAGGAGAAGTCACACACAGGACACAATATGCCTCCGCCAGAAACGGCCCGTTTTTAGCCAAAAATAAGTCCAGATTTTTCCCCTGGTTTCATCCTTCAGGAAACTCGATGGATATAGGCTCCTGGCTCAAGTTTTTATGCATCAGTGACCTTCAAAAAAAAATCAATTTTATTTATATATATATATAATTGATTTTTACAGAGAGGAAGGGAGTGGGATAGAGAGTTAAAAACATCGATCAGGCCAAAACCGGTTTGGCTCAGTGGTAGAGCGTCGGTCTGCGGACTGAGGGGTCCCAGGTTCGATTCCGGTCAAGGGCATGTACCAGAGTTGCGGGCACATCCCCAGTGGGGAGTGTGCAAGAGGCAGCTGGTCGGTGTTTCTCTCTCATCGACGTTTCTAGCTCTCTATCTCTCTCCCTTCCTCTCTGTAAAAAATCAATAAAATATATTAAAAAAAAAAAACAAAAACACATCGATCAGCTGCCTCCTGCACACCCTCTACTGGGGATGTGCCTACAACCCAGATAGATGCCCTTGCCTGGAATCGAACCTGGGACCTTTCAGTCGGCAGGCCGGCACTCTATCCACTGAGCCAAAAACAGTCAGGGCTACATATTTTAACCTGTGACATCCCAGTCTAAGGCTTTACCAAACCCAGACAGGGTCCAGGGGTCAGGTGACACAATGCCTGTGTCCAGAGCTTAGAGGAGGGGGTGGTCTAGGGAGGACGGGGCAGGCGTGAGGGAGGAAGGAGGATGCCATCGTCCGCTCCAGCTGCTGTAACAAAACACTTCTGGCATCTGGGAGGGGCTGTCAGGGTTTCCGGGGAGGGCTCTCTCTCTGGCTGGCAGATGGCTGCCTTCCCGCTGCCCCCTCCCCTGCCGTTCCCCTGCGACGGTGTGTGGAGAGGGAGAGAGACCTCCGCTTCTCTACCTGTAAGGACACTAATTAGATCCGGGCCTCGCCTCATTAAACCTTAGTTATCTCCGTAAGGCCCATCTTGGAATGCAGTCACACTGAGGGGTGAAGGCTGCCACCTAGGAATGGGCAGGGAGGAACAACTGAGTCCATAGCAGAGGAGCCGGGCCCAGGGGGGACGGCGGTGAGAAGGAATCCAAATACCCAACCCGCCGGTGCCACCTGGCCAGGTGAGCAGAGGCCCGGGGGGACGAGTGAGGCTTGGGGGACAGGAAGTGGGGGGGGCACTCTGGCTCGGACATGTGAGTAGCCAAGGCTCCGAGGCCCGCGATGGTTTCGGGTCTGGGGGGTGGATGTGGGGTGAACAGGTTTGAGGGGTGACTGAGTGCCAGCCTCTCCCTCCCTCCCCTGCAATGCCGGGCCTGCTCCCCAGGGGGCGGAGCGGGCCTTGGGTGCCTACCCCAGGTCCTCCCTCCTCTGCTGCCCGGGGTCCGGCAGGTCTGGGCATCCTCAGCGTCTCCTCCCGCCCTCTCCTGTGACCAGCGCTCCAGCTTCCAGCTCCCCCGCGCCCGGACCCCTGATTACAGCCGTCTCTCCCGCACCTGCTCCGTGGCGGGCCGTCCGGGCATGTATGTGGCACCCGCCACCCCTCCTCTCTGCCTGCAGCTCGGGACCAGCGTCCTCCCGGCGAAGGGCCTGAGATTGGCCAGATGGACGTCTGGCGCTGGAGTGAGCTCTGGCTACGGTGACCAGATTTAAGCCTTGCTTATGTTTACCAGGGCTGATGGACTCTTGGTAAGGGCAGGAGTAGGATGGCGGGAACCAGCTAGTCAGGTAAGAAATATGAACCATGCTCTGTGAACCGCGATTGTCACTGTTTCCTCAGAGAGATGCTGGGGACTCAGTGAACCTGCGAAGCATCCGGAAAGCACCTGGCTCATGATGCATTCATCACAGCCAGTCATAAAACTGATAATACATAATACCGCTGCTCAACCTCTCTGAACCTCAACTCCTTCCTCTGGAGTAGCAGGTTACATGTTTATTTTAAGTGAAAAGGAAATGCAATGTGTAAGACGAAGTTTCACCGAACAAATACTTACTTAGCCTGATGTATTCTAATACTATACCCTCTCATTAAAGAAAAGTGTTGACTGCCCTGACCAGTGTGGCTCAGTGGATAGAGCGTCGGTCTGCAGACTAAAGGGTCCCAGGTTTGATTCCGGTCAAGGGCATGTACCTTGGTAGTGGCACATCCCCAGTAGGTTCTCTTTCATTGATGTGTCTAACTCTATCCCTCTCCCTTTCTCTCTGTAAAAAGTCAATAAACTATATTTTTAAAAAAATAAGAATAATAAAGAAAAAGAAGAGGGTCTGGGCTCTGCTCCTCCCTGCACCCTGGGCAAGTGCCAGCTCTCCCACCGGGCCGGCCCGCAGGTCCTCCCTGTGCAGGGTGCGGTGAGGGTGGCCAGTGCCGGCCAGGCAGGCGCGGGGACCGGGCGCAGGAGCGCCCCCCAACGGGCTTTCTCGGGCAGGTTTTTCCCTCGGAGCAACAGGCAACCGCGGTCTTTACCAGCGTCCTCCCTCAGGGAAACTTCCCGGCCCGGCCCTGCGCCCGCTGCGCCGGGAGGGAGGGGCGGGCCGGCGGGGAGGGGGCGGGGGCGCAGCTGTGCCGCCTGCGCGGGGCTGAGCGCTCCGGCTCCAGGCAGCCGCCTGCGGATCTCCCCGGAGAGGGACCGATCTCACCGGGTTCGGGGCCGATCTCCCCGGAGAGGATCCGATTCACCGGAGAGGGGCTGATCTCCCCGGAGAGGGGCTGATCTCCCCGGAGAGGGGCCGATCTCCCCGGAGAGGGGCCGATCTCCCCGGAGAGGGACCGATCTCACCGGGTTCGGGGCCGATCTCCCCGGAGAGGATCCGATTCACCGGAGAGGGGCTGATCTCCCCGGAGAGGGGCCGATCTCCCCGGAGAGGGGCCGATCTCCCCGGAGAGGGGCCGATCTCCCCGGAGAGGGGCCGATCTCACCGGGTTCGGGCCGATCTCCCCGGAGAGGGCCCGGATCTCCCCGGAGAGGGGCCACGAAAGGGCTCCTATTGTGCTGGAGCGGCTTGGAGCGGCCAAGTTCCTCTCCCGGCACCGCGGGGACTGCGCGGCGGGGCTCAGCGACGCGGCCGGCGCGCGGGGGCTCCGGAGACCGCTAGGCGCTGCCCGCGCGCCCCGGGGAGGCGGACCCTGCCGCCCCCCCTCCACCCAGGACACCCCGCTTCTACCGGAAGCCGAGCCCCGGGGGCCGATCGTGCGGCGCGGAGAGCCGAGGTGAGCGCCCGCGGGGTCCGGAGGCCGCCGGAGCCCCCCGCCGCCCACGCGCCCCGGCGCCCCCCGGATGCCCGCCGCCCGGTGCCAGCCTCCCCCGCGGCGCGGCCCCGCCGGCGGCTCCCCGCTGTGACCGCCCTCCCTCCCTCCGGGCGCCGCCGGGGCTTCCCCGGGAGGAGAGAGCCGCGCGCACCGGCGGGACCGGCGGAGCCCCGGGCGCGGGCCGGGAGCATGGACGCGGCCGGGAGCGTGGACCGGGCCGGGAGCGTGGACACGGCCGGGAGCGTGGACCGGGCCGGGAGCATGGACGTGGCCGGGAGCGTGGACGGGGCCGGGAGCGTGGACGCGGCCGGGAGCGTGGACGCGGCCGGGAGCGTGAACGCGGCCGGGAGCGTGGACCGGGCCGCGGCGCGCAGCCCCCCGGAGGAGCCGGGCGGCCGGGGGCCCCGCGCCGGCGGCGGGGACGCGGAGATCGTGGTGAACGTGGGCGGCGTGCGGCAGGTGCTGGACGGCGGCCTGCTGCGCCGCTACCCGGAGACGCGGCTGGCCGAGCTGCTGGGCTGCCTGGCCGGCGGCTACGACCGCATCTTCTCGCTCTGCGACGACTACGACCCGGGCCGCCGCGAGTTCTACTTCGACCGCGACCCCGACGCCTTCCGCTGCGTGGCCGAGCTGTACCACCTGGGCGAGGTGCACATCAAGAAGGGCCTCTGCCCCATCTGCTTCAAGGGCGAGATGGACTTCTGGAAGGTGGACCTCAAGTTCCTGGACCCGTGCTGCCGCGGCCACCTGCGCGAGAAGCGCGAGGAGCTGGAGGAGATCGCGCGCCGCGTGCGCCTCCTGCTGGACGACCTGGGCCTGGACGCGGCGGCGGGGCCCGGGGGCGCGGGCCGCGGGCGCCGCTGGCAGCAGCGCGTCTGGCGCTTCCTGGAGAAGCCGGGCTCCTCGCGGCCGGCGCGCGCCGTGGCCGTGCTGTCCTTCCTGCTCATCCTGCTGTCCTCCGTGGTGCTGTGCGCCGGCACCGTCCCCGAGCTGCAGGTGCCGGACGCGGGCGGCGGCCGCGTGGAGCACCCGGTGCTGGAGAGCGTGGAGACGGCCTGCATCGGCTGGTTCACGCTCGAGTACCTGCTGCGCCTGCTCGCCTCGCCCGACAAGCTGCGCTTCGCGCTGTCCTTCATGAACGTGGTGGACGTGCTGGCCATCCTGCCCTTCTACGTGAGCCTCACGCTCACGCACCTGGGCGCGCGCGTCATGGAGCTGGCCAAGGTGCAGCAGGCGGTGCAGGCGCTGCGCATCCTGCGCGTGGCCCGCGTCTTCAAGCTGGCGCGCCACTCCTCCGGCCTGCAGACGCTCACCTACGCGCTCAAGCGCAGCTGCAAGGAGCTGGGCCTGCTGCTCATGTACCTGGCCGTGGGCATCTTCGTCTTCTCCGCCCTGGGCTACACCATGGAGCAGGGCCACCCCGAGACGCTCTTCAAGAGCATCCCGCAGTCCTTCTGGTGGGCCATCATCACCATGACCACCGTGGGCTACGGCGACATCTACCCCAAGACCACGCTGGGCAAGCTCAACGCCGCCATCAGCTTCCTGTGCGGCGTCATCGCCATCGCCCTGCCCATCCACCCCATCATCAACAACTTCGTGCGCTACTACAACAAGCAGCGGGTGCTGGAGACGGCCGCCAAGCACCAGCTGGAGCTCCTGGAGCTCACCGCGGGCGCCGGCCCCGGCGGGGGCGAGACCGAGGCCCTGGGCTCCCGCGGGGACCTGGACAGCCTCCCGCCGGAGCCCGCCGTGGCCGAGGCCGCCACCGCCGCCCCGGGCGCGGAGGGGGCCTGGGGCAGCCGGCTGCGGGGCTCCCACAGCGACACCGTCATCCCCCTGCTGACCCAGGAGAAGCCGCACAGGACCCGGCTCCAGAGCTGCAAGTGAGGGGGCCGGCCGGCCGGGCCGGCGGACGGAGCTGTGACTGCCCCCCCCCACCTCCTGTGCGAACCCCGAAGGCCCACTGGGCGCCTGCCACGGGGCTGGGAGAGACCCTTTGCGTGGCTGGTGGTCGAAGCGGGGGAGCCGGCGGCGGGGAGGGGGGCCAGGAGCCAGGGCAGGAGGGCGGCGGGGACCCTGGGCCTTCCGTTCTGTATCTTTCAATAAAGCCCCGCTCTGTGCACACACCGTGTGGCAGGCTCTCTCTCAGGCCGGGATCCTCAGCCCTGCCCGCCCCCCGGGTGTGGGTGGCTCAGGCATGGCCAGTGCCAGGCCCGGTGCCAGGCCTGGGGTAGGCGTGCAGGCCCGGGGGTGTTTTCGGTTGGGAGCTACGTGCAGGAGGGATGGCACGCAGGGCTGGGCGCCAGGAGCCTCGCCACGGTCCAGGCGGCTCTGTGCCTGCGGCTGCCGATTCCTTCTGAGGACGAGCCGGCTCCCGGCCCGCCCAGGAGGGCGAGGGCACCGAGCGGGGCGCAGCCGGCAGCGTGGTTGCTACGGATGCACCACCTATGTGAGGCCCTTTCCACAGCTTCCTCCCATTCCCTCCAGCAACCCATTTTACAGGTAGAGAAACTGAGGCCGAAGGGCGCACCAAGGAGGGAGCCAATCCCAGATCTGACGATCCCAAAGCCCAAGCATCGTCTCTCTCTTTTTTAAAATAGGGGTGTGGTTTTTTCTAATTGGTTTTAGAGCTGGAGGAAGGGAGAGGGCTACAAACATTGATGTGAGAGTGTCCGGGGTTGGGAGGGTGGTCCCCAATGCTGCTTCCTGTATGCCCCCTACTGGGGACCCAGCCTGATTCGAACCGGTGACCTCTTGGTTCATAGCTGATGCTCAACCACTGAGCCACACCGGCCGGGCCACGCACTCTCTCCCACGCCAGGCGCGTGAGGAGAGGATGGTCTGCGGGAAGCGCTGAGCTTCCCTGGATGGCCACGCCTGCCCTGAGGTCCTCCCTCCTCCCACCAGCACCTCTGAGGGAGCAGGAGGACCAACCTGTGCCTGCCCAGGTGGCCCCTGCCAGCTGGGGTGGGGAGCCCCAAGGAACTGAGACAGACAGACCTGGGTCTGACACCAGGAAGCGATGTCTGAGGTCCTTCTAGCTCAAACATTTCCTCTCCTCTCCCCTCTCCCACCGCCCCTTAGCCGTGTGGTCTGAGGCCGGTGGATTCAATTCTCTGCCCTTCGTTCTGAGCACCTATAAAACGGGGCTTTAGACACACCCTCGGGGGACCGAGGCTGGCACGGTGCCTGGCCCCGAGGACCTGCTCAGAGGCGGCGGCCATTGCTGTGCCTCAGTCTGGGCTGGGCACGCAGAGGGGGCGTGGGGCAGGGTGTGGCTATGCTGTCCCTGGTCAAAGGCAGTCCCCTTGGCCCAGAGTTGGCCCCAACAGGCCCCTTTCCTGGGCTCCCACCTCCAGGAACCCAGAGCTCTGTCCTTCCTTCCCCGCTGGGCGGCTGGTGCAGAGCGAGCAGCCTGGGGGGGAAGAGGGGGCCTGGGGGGGAATGGCCCCTGGTCTGCAGCACCGGGCAGAGCCGTCTCTGGGCCCGGCTTCCCATGTGCGTGAAGAGGAGGATTCCTGGGTTCCCACCAGGCCTGCCCCCCTGGGGTGCCAAAGCCCGGGCTGTGGGCTTGTGCTGGGCACTCCAGGGATGGGGGTGGGCATGCTGGAGGGGCCTAGGAGGGGGGTCTTGGGAGAGTCAGGGCCGCCCTTGTGGGGTGCAAGTCCCTGAGCCAATGTTGTGCACCCCTCGTCCCCCCCCCACACACACACACACGTTTCTCCAGGGAGATGCTGGCTTGGGGGCCGGGGAAGGCAGGGGAAGGAGTGGAGAGGAGAGGGTCCGAGAGGGGCCTGTTTTGTGGGCTCAGTGGGGCCTGCTGAGTGGTGTGCAGCCTCTCTTTGTCCCCCTGCCCAGAGGCCTAGGGAAGCCGAGCTGCGGGCTCTGAGCCGGAGGAGAGGGGAAGGGAGGGGAGGAGAGGGGAGGGAAGGGGAGGGGAGGAGACGAGGCTGGGGGCAGGGGCAGGGGCGGCTGGAGAGAGGCCGGGAGGCCCCTTCCCTGCTGCTCACGGGGGGGGGGGGGGGGGGCGGCGAGAAGGAGCCAAGCCCAGAGTGAGGGCGCTCGGGGCCAGGTCCCCAGGACCCGGAGTGTCTTTAGGGAGAGGAAGGACGAAGGACGGGAGGGAAGTGCGTTCTTCGGACCAGACGCTGAGGCTGCTCGGAGTCAGGGCGCAGCCTGGCCACTTAGGAGGTGTCTGGGGCCTGAACCCCGCCAGCTGGGTCTGGAGGTACCGCCTCCAGCAAGGAGAGGCCCCCAGTGTCTGCACGGAGGAGGCAGGGCCTCGGGCAGAGAGACCGCCGCTCACACAGCCCAGCCCAGCCCAGCCCAGCCCCGCGGTGCGATCCTGACCCCCAGCTCCGTCCATCCGCCCGCCCGCTGACCTCGCAGGCCTGCGTGAGGGTGCGAGGGGGTGTGGGCAGCTCTGTGGGCCCTGGATTCGCACCTGATTGTGGATGAGGCTTCGTCAGCTCAGCCCACACAGGCCCTGCCCTCTCCCGCCCCTTCCCCGAGCAGAACGCTGCCCTCGCCTGCCTCACCAGGCCGTCTGGCCCCGGGCCTCCTTGTGGGAATGTGTGCATTTTAGTCTTTTCCGGCAGCTTCTCATGCATATTCAAACCCCGCGTTCTGGGCGTGAGCAAGTGCTTGCTGCGCGGGGTGACTGATCTGAAAATAGCCCCGCATGAGGCTGCCACGTGCTCCCATCCCCTCCGCCACCTCCTCACTCTCCCCCCCCCCCCGCCTCCTCACGCCCCCACAGCCAGGTTGGGCTAAAGATCTGCACACAATCCATCCGCCAGGACTGATGGCAACTCACTGCTGGGGCTGGAGGAGTCCTCCTCCCTCTGGGATTCTTGCTGTTGCTTTTAAAATACATGTTCATTGATTTCAGGGAGGAAGAGAGAGGGAGGGAGAGAGAGACGGAAACATCAACGATAAGAGAGAATCATTTGTCAGCTGCCTGGCATGTGCCCTGACGGGGAATCAAACCCAGGACCCTTCACCCTTCAGCCTGCAGCTGGACGCTCTATCCACTGGGCCAAACCGGCCGGGGCTCCCCTCGGTTTTTGTTTTCCTTTGAGTCTAGAGCCCAGGCCTCTGCTCAGCATCCTTTCTGCAGGTGACCTGGCATCAGGAGGGGGACCTCGGGGAGCTCCGGACAGTGCCGCTCCTGCCTCTGAGCGCGGGACTCAGGTCACCAGCCTCCTCCGGTGGCCGCCCCGGCTGGCACTGCCCGGAGATGCCCACAGGGGGCGCTGACGGTGAGGGGGCAGGGAGGGAGCAGGCTTCCCGCTCCAAGTCCGCCTGCCCTTCCTCCCAGTGCGGGCTGGGCACGGCCCACCTCCTCCCGGGCACCCGGTTCCGGGGCGTGAGCCGGGCAAAGGCCCCCCCCCAGGAGGGGGTGCAGGCGTCAGTCGCAGCGAGCTCCCCTCCCCCCCAGCTGTGTGCGGCCAGGGGAGGCTGCTGGGGGGTCTTCTTAGGGTGACACCTTTCCCTGTCAGGAGAGGTTTGGGGAGAGCTGTTTCCAGGCCTTTGAAGACACACATTCGTAAACCCTCATGTATGACCTGCAATGGCAGCTAAATGGAGTGTCTTCCGCGGCCTGAGGAACAGGCGGTGGTAACGCCCGGGAGGAGCCCTGTCCCCTCGGTCCCCGCGGCAACAAAAGCCGGGGCGGCCGTGGCGATTACGGCTGGGCCCAGCGACAGGCGGCCCAGCCCCCGGCCGGTCTGCTCCGGCTGCCAGGAGCCGCCTGGAGGGCGGACGGTGGGGACAGACATGGAGGGAGCCGGGTGCCCATAGGACCCCAAGAGCCCTGGCTTCCGGACTCCACCTGCGTCTTTCTTCCCGCCTCCTGAGCTGCTCTGACACCGAGCCTCCCAGCGGGCAGAACAAGTCCGTGAAGAGCATGTTCTCGGTGATTACATGGCTGTTGAGGAACCTCAGTAGTAATTAGTTTCCCCAAGATAGCAGCCCCCCCGGAGCGCTGAGATGGTGACGCCTGCAGCAGTCTTTCCCAATGAGTACTGCTCCCCCTCCCCCTCCCCGCTCCCCGCTCCCCGCAGGGCCTCCCTGGGCCAGGGCTCGGCTGCTCACCATCTATCAGGACGTGCCCACAGCTCCTTCTCTTCTCCTCTGTCCATCCGTTCAGCAGCCATCACCGTTTCCCCTTCACCTCGTGTCTGCCATGCAACCTGCCCCTCACCAACCCCAGGCGGGGGTGGGGGGAGGGTATATCGGGGTGCCTCACGGATATGGGGTGTTGTTCAGGTGAACCTCGGGCCCTGCAAGTAGGAGGCAGTGTGAGCGCGCCGAGCCTGGTCCCCTGCCCCGTGGGGTCTGTGTGAGGATGAACTCACCCTGAAGGCCACAGCAGCCTAAAGCAGGGGTGTGACAGGGTAAAAGGAAACCTTCCAAATAGGGCGTCGGAGGCCGAAAAGTGGCAGAGAAGGGGGGCGGGGGGATTGCACAGACGAGCCGCTGGCCTCGCTCCCTGCCCCCCCACAGCGGGGCGGCACAGGCTGGAGAGTGAGGGGAGCCCCAGCCCTGGGTGGGCATCCCAGTGACTGCGGGTCACAGAGGGCATCGCGTACAGGTGGCCTCAGAAAATAATTTTTAAAAACATTTTCTGACTATGAAAGTATTTTGCATTTAGTAAGAAAAAAAAATAAGGAAAGTATGAGAAAGTAGAGCCACATAGGCGGCTGCTGTCCACAGGTGGCTTTTCCCTCGTGCACAGCTGTCGACGTAATGTTCTCGCGTGTATTTTACAGACTCCTGACGCACGGCCGGAGTGCCCGTATGTATAAACACGCTCCCAGTTGCACTGGCAGAGACCTTGTTTTGAATCCAGTCTGCCCCGGCCTCGGAGCTGCTGCGCTGGGTTC